CATTACACGTGTGTTTAGTTAGCTTAGATGAAATAAATTGGTTTTGGTTTCAGATCTTGTTCCAGGCTGAGTATCTTTTATGCATTATTTTTATTTTCTGCTCAAAAAAAGTTCAATTACACTGGAAACTGTTCAATTATCTGAGAGATCTTCTACTAGAAATCTAATAAACACATATAGAGCAAAAAATTATTCACTTTTTCATTATATTAATGTGTAAATGTGTGTTTTGTCTGCTGATCAGACTTAAGACATGAAAGCAACAATTTATGTATCCCATCCAGGCTGCCAGCAATCACAAAGTTGTTAAGTGGTTTCTGTCATGAAACAAAAGAAGAAGAACTGAAGACCTCCAGGGTGGCAGTAACAGCGGTAAAGGACGTGGCCACAAATAGCAGTAACACAATTTAAAAAGATTCCAAGTAAAAAAAGCATAGAAAATGTAGATTATAGATACATTAACACATACTTGTATTCATACTTCTTATTTCAGCTAAATGCTCCGGATATTTTCATTATCTAATATATTTGATTGTTCTTACTGATACTGCAGTTTTAACTGGCACTTTGACAACTTTCTGCTGCAGGAGAAGTTACTGATATAGAACAATAAACTTCAACTCTTATCATAAGATTTGTGTGATGCATTTTACACTTCAAAGTAGCTGGTAAGAATCCTGCAGTTCACAGATAGCTATTACACGTAAAGAAAAGCACATTTCTTATTGAGATATGTCCCCTCAAAGTGCATTAGGTAATGAATTCATATTTTCCTTCTTGCTGCTCACCAAGGTTGCACATATTGTAGCATGGTAGGCAACAAAACACATACACTCACCCTCTCCCAGGAGTGCCACCCCCACAGTTCCTCCATGGTGGACTGCCCCAGCGCCCAGAGAAGAGTAGCGTACACTGGGAAGTGGAAGCAAAGGACCCCTAAGCTCTGGATTCCCTCGAAGCTTTTAGTCCATGGTAGGCTTCCAGGGTAGGTGAAGGCCAGGAAGGCAAGGAGGGAGGCTCTGGTCAGGGCTCCTACCCACAGGGTGACGAACGGATGAGAGAGTAGGAGAGGCGAGAGTTGGGCCAGGCGGATGGTGTGCACCACACACACATCCAGGCACACGCAAAGCACCGGGAAAAAGTAGCTCATCTTCTGCATTACGCACACACTCTGCAAAAACAAATGACAGAGACAGCTGAGTATTAATATCAGCACAATATGCAAACATGCAAAAACATAAAATAAGGATGATCTATGTGTCACCAGTGGGCAAACTTTTTTAAAGCAACTTATACTCATATATTAACGTTATAACGCACCATGCACTAGTCTTTGTACACTAGAGTATTTCCTTTTCCCCCTGAAAGAGTGACATTACGTCTATAAGTGCTGACTGGATGTGACTGACGGATCAAACATGATCAAACATCAAACACCAGGCCTACATTTTGAATGCACTTTAAGGACAATGGTCCCTATTTACTTTCACTTTGCTGCCGATTGCATTTACTTTCATTTTCTGCTGCCCTGATGATTTCTTTGAAATGGCTCCGTGAATAAACCAAACATCACACACAAACACAAACAATTATGGCAAATGTTGACACCTACTATCATTTACAGCATTGATAGCGTATACTACATGAGTTTACAGGGGATAGCAACTGTTATAATTACCCTTAAATCCAACCTACTTACTCGGTTTCCTTGACGCGACCTATTTGCTTCGACGAACGTCCCAAACCTTTGAAAAACTCGAATATAACCTCAGACCAAGTAAATAACGTTAATTTAATATCTACAAACCGGCAGCCTGTTCAGTCACGAACCGACAACCACTGACTGGCAAAACTGAAACCGAAACTAACTATTTATAGAGCTTTTGGAATGGAAAGTCCCACATACGTCCTCCTACCGAAGACCAGCGACAAACAAAACTTACCTTTATTTAAACCGTGACGTTTTTATTCCAACATTATTACTCAGAAAACTTGTTTTTGGAGAATAACTTCAGTGTGTGGAGTGCCTGCTGCCACCAACACTGCAAAGTTGATAGGATGTGCCTGATATGAAAACCAGTCCAACAGCGACCCCGTGTGGCGAGGAGGTACAATTGCATTTTTTTTTACTCTAGCGTTTTAAATGAACAACAGCTAGAATCACAGTAATTACATAAATCGCTTGGATATATATTTTTATACTTTCATATATTTCTTCATTCATTCATTCATTCATGCATTCTGGTCCCAGAAGCAACAGTAGACTAAATAGCTATGTATATTGTTTTGTGATGTAGTTTTGATATATATTGTTTAATTATCTTTATTGGTTTACATTGAGTATAAACCCATCCATTAATAGCCACATGAACCTCCTCTGAGGTATTCCTCTTTTCATCCTGCCTCGCGGCTCCATATTTGTTGCCTGATTTGCCTGGCTGACAGTCACATGTTGTCTCTTGCCTGGTCTTGGACACTGAAACCCCCAACAGAATCTTTGAACTCCCTGACAGTTTCCTTCCTTTCCCTTCTTTCCGGTTTGATAGCTGGAAAAAGCAAAGCTAAAAGTGTTCCTACTATTTTAGGAACCTTCTTTGTAAACCCCTGTAAATCACAAAACATGTGTTTGCTTTGCTGTTTATTTTGAAAAAAAAAAAAAAAGCAATAAAATACATCTTTAGTCAATTTCTTACACTTCAGCACTTAAAAAACAACAGATTTATAGTCCTTTATTGCATTAAAAATGTTTAAAATGTAGAATTTTAAACTAATTCAAACTGGATTCAGCCAATACAACATCCCTTTTTGTGTTTTTACTGTATTCTAGTTTCTATGTTGGGAAATATTTTCGAAATTTCTACTGCAGCAGTATAAAACATACTTTTGGGATAATGATTTCTTTAAAATGTATGCAGCATGTTTATACTGTAGTTCACTGAGGTTAACGTTGGAGAAAATGAAGCATTTTTAGTACCTAGTAATCATAACTGTTAATTAAATCCACAGTGATCTGTTCAAAAGTAGAATGCTTTACTAAATGAAAAAAATCAAGCAAAGTCCATCCATTCATTTTCTTCTGTTTATCCAGTTTAGGGTTGTGAACATGCAAAGTCCATGCAGGAAAGCTCCAGCCTTGTGATGGATTTGAACAAAGGGTTTTCTTGCTGTGAGGCAATGGTGCAAACCACAGCTGGTAAATAAAATAGGCTACTATGGTAAATATTGAACTGAGAGCAGCCATTGAATAATTCTAATTTGAACCCTTATGTTGACCCATTAGACCTATTATTATGGAGAATGATGTCTTTTTTCATAGCAGTTTTCAGTATATAAAAGCATATTTACATGTTGTTAGATTTCACTCGTTTTAAATTCAGTGCACAAACAAATACATTGTGAGCACTGAAAACAGGAACGTTATACATATCTGCCAGTGGGTTGATTAAAGAGTTTTAATTTAAAAATCAATACGGGACACCACATTTAAAAATTGAAAAAGTAATAATCATTTAAGTAGTAAGGCACATTGTTGTTATTGTTCTTCTAGTGCAAACTAAAGCAATTCTTCTCTTTGTAACCACAGAATTGAATGATATAAATAATTCTTGCAGTCAGACTTGCATAGATGGCCTGCATCAGAATACTGTCAGAAGACCTTATGGGATTTGCAACAATAATATTCATTTTTGTTTCCCTTTGGCTGAAATTAAGGCGTAACTTCACACATATGTGATTCATACATTTGTGAAACTGAGCTCCCATCTCTGTTATAAACTGTCACACCAAAGTCACTTGTATATGTACCCTGGAAAGCCTGGATGCGCATGCTCAGACATGGCAGCTGCCTGTGAGAAGCCCCTCAGAGCATACAGTTATGAACATTTAGCCAAATAAAAGTCGAGTTAACTGATTTGACTGCTGCGGAGTTTCGCTGCCAGAGCCACGATGGAGTAAACAGTTGGCAGCGGGGACATTTGCGAGCTGGTCTGGATGGAAGCGACGGGTTTACGAGACGTTTTCAAATGTATAACGCTGTGTAAGCAAACACGAACGCCAGAAATGTGTCGTATTAAAGGTTTCAGCCTGCATGAAGGGTTAAGAGCTTAGCCAGATATACCGCGTTACGAACAGCTTCTCGATCTGCAGTTTTCCCGTGACTCTCAGGCCCAGCAACGCCTGCTTCTACGTAAGCTAAAACATCTGGATTTGGCCACATGGGTTTGTTGTGCACAGTAAACAGCTGCACTGACGGGGTTTCCGGCTGCTTTTAGTGATGACTTAAGAGGGGAA